ACAAAGCTCGAGTTGGGTTAATGAGAACGTGCAGCTTGTGCTTTAGCGACTCGAAGTCAGCCAACAAAACTTGCATCTCAAACAAACCCCGTCACCTCAGCAACTGCAGAACAGCTCCAGCGCTCCGAAGGCAGTAACAGACACCCTTCCCAAGGGAGGGGATTATTCAGTGTCTAGACTAACAGCTCGAGTGCTGCTCTGGCAAACCCATAGTTGTACTTTTCATTACCCTCTGTCCGTTAAAGCACTCAAAGCTCAGTTCTGCATCTATATTTCATTTGAAATACAAATGCAGCATTGCTCTTTGCTGCCCGCAGCAGGCACCCACAGCTGGCTTTGGGACCCGCTGCCAGTGTCAGCTGATGTTACGGCTGAACTTTTGGATCAGGTCTCTTTGCAAATTGCTTCTTTTTCCCTTTATTCTATCGAGTCCCTTGCCGACTGCAAGAAGGGGGAGATGAAAGAACTGTTCGTGCACAGGGCTGATGGAGTTAACCTCAGTATTTAGATGATCTGCTCCCTCCCCAGTCTTCTGGGAGTACCAGCGAGTTGGGTTCAGGGGTGCTGCTCCTCTTCCCTCAACTGCTCTTGTGCTCAGGCTGTGGCCTCAGGGACCGATGGCAAATACCCGGCCGGGGCTGCCCCACGCTCTCACCGTATGACGCACGTGCCACGCCTCAGCCCAGGAAGGGGGAATTGGCTCTTCCCGCGGTGACACGGGCCCACCTGCCCCAGGGATTCACCCGCACGAGGCCACAGCCCCGCTCCATGGCCCACGGGGGCCGGGGGCACAGTTTGGAACAGCTGAAACACATCCCTTACGCTTGACACGTTCAGTGACGTGGCGGCGGATGTAATGGCCATTCTATCTCCTTCCCACTTACTGCTCAGCCTGGCTTCAGTCTCCAGCCTTCAGCCACTCCTTTGGTTGTGCTGTTTCTGTTTAAAGTGGGCAATGCTGATACTGTGTAAGATGAATCAAAGTTAGAGCCAGACTGACACCTCCCTCCCATTCGTTATTTCCCCAAAATGCAAGAGACCAGCAGACTGTTTCATCAACAGCACTGATTTGTCCTGAATTGACAGGGATGTTAATTAGTGCTGGCAAAGAACAACTGAAATTCTATTTAAAAAAAAACAAATAGAAAAAGCACTCTGACCTTAGAAAACCATCTTGCTATAGCTGCTTCAAACGAAATTATCAGCCAGGTGTCATCTGCTTCGAGCTTCACAGCGCCGTGATGCGGCTCCTGATAGTGACCGGGACTAAGGGGTGACGGGGAAGCTCTCCAGAGGCTGCAGACACAGGGACCCTTCACCCGCCTTGCAGCTTACACTGGAATTGGAAATACCCTCACCCCAGCTTACAGAAACACAGCCGAGTTTCAGATAATTCAGTGCCTTTCATACATCTGCACGTTCGCATACGATGCACAAATGCGTTACTTGCTATTCTTGCATCAGGTTTAGTTTAAAGACATAAACAATCAATATCAAAACCACCTGCCCAGACTTCCAGATCAGCCAAAGCACCCACTATGGGCATTACAAGGTCCAGCTCTGCAGGGCAAAATATTTTCCCTATTTTCCAGTTCTCGTGGCCTCTTACAGAAGTGGAAAAAAGCGAGATCCTCCCATCCTTCCCAAGGACACCAAACAGAACAGTGTGTTTTCCTTTCTCCTTCGATGCCCAAATAAAGAACTCAAAGCAACCATTTGAGTTTCTCTTCAGTGCCAGCTGGGAAGGTAAACTTTGGATGCAATTGTGCCTCAAAGGGACAGGATGGGAGCTAGCTATGTGGGACAGGCAGAGCCAAATTAATACTTCAAATATCTGAAAATTCCAGTATGAAGTAGTACGAACTAAATAAATAAATAACCAACAAAATACCCAAGGACCACAGGTAAGAACATATCACCATGTGTCAGCAGGAGCTGCACACAAGCACCTCCCACCTCAGAAATGGCTCTTTCTGCTTACTTGTGGTAAATTTCACAGCTGGAAGCAAAACCCAAAGCCACCCCATTGTCAAGGAGAATAATGAGAGCAGCTATAGGGAGTTTTGGGATATAAAATTTTACCTGGCTGAAACAAGCACAGCTAAAGTCCTGCGGGAGGGCAGAACCTCACTGGAGAGCCATGGCCACACCTCAGCAAACGAGAGCTGCCCCGGCAAAGCGTCATCGCCTTTATTATTGGAAAAGGGAAGCGACAAAACAATTTTTCTTCTTCTCTAGATGATCAAAGGGTCCAGTGAAACCGTTAATTCTGGAATTAGATGTTTATTTAAATATGTGGATGACTTTTTTCCATTGTTACAAGGTCAATATTCGCTTTCAAATGGAAGCACTTTATTTGGTTGAATTCTGTCTCCAGAAATGAATGGGCAACACCAGAACCTTTTACATTGGCAATGAAGTCACAACACTGAGATGCCACCGAAGTCTAGAGATCAGTGCTCAAACACACATACACACACATATACAAATAAAAAAGTGCTCGACATCATCATGTTAAAATAGAATTTGGCTTCTTTTTTAGGTCTTTTGACACTTCAGGCAGGAAAACAGAAAACAAAGAACAATATGCATCAAACTAAATGAACTTCTGAAAAATACTCAGCATTAAACACAACTTTCAGTATCAGTAAATATGTTTCTTCTCTATTTACAGGTGTTAAGAAAGGGCATTAGAGACTTTCGCTGGGCATAATGAGATTTCGTAGGATGTACGGTCCGCTCTTCTGGGCAAGATTAGTAAATCCAAGCAGAGTTTTTATAAACCAGTCACATATTTAGTCCTTTGGGTTTTGCAAAAGGTAAATTCTACAAAACTACTTGTTCATTACCCTGGATAAAGGCAGCGGAATAAATGTGTGTAGGCTACGGGACGTGGCCTTTGCTATTTTTTTCTTGCAGTAAGTTTTAAGATCTGAGCTTTCAGGAACTAGTTGCCAAGTTTATAAAAACTCCATACATGGTCTTTTAATAAATCTTTTGAAGGAAATCAGTCAGCTAAAGCTAATGCTCCTTCTAAAGCGCTATTTAGCAACACAGACATTGCAATTGTTCAAATGTTCCACAGAGGCTGACAATAATATACTGTCCACCTAGATTAAATATATAAAAGCAAACTTTTATCTAGTTTTTTACATAGATGGCACAACAGTAGGTGAAAATGAATTCTTCTAGCTGCTGATTCAACAGTGCATTGGACACGAGAATAAAAATACTGCAGCTAAAAATATTTTAAAGATATTTTTGCACACCTGTTAACTGCTTAACCATTCAGATCCCTTGAGAGATGGATGCAACGAAGCCTTTGCAGGAACCTCTGTATGAAGCCACAGGTGCCAACCGTGCGGATCCCACTCTGCTGTCGGAGGCTCATGGATCTCAACAGTTAAGCGAGCACAGTAGCAGCAACGATAAGGATGGTAAGTTAATTGATTATAACCCTTCCAACGCCTCTAACACTGTAGCTGAACGGCCTCAGCGTTGGTATCGCCCGCACTTCAATGCAGGCTCCTGAGCCACTGGGATTTGATTAAAAAACCAACCTTTTGCTGGTTGATGCCTGCAGATATTCAGCACCGTAATAAACAGCTACAGTACTAAGTGTAGGACCGAGGGACTTTGTCCTCTTCAGAGTAAAGGTTGGTATCTCGAATGGAGAGAAGGGGACAGAGTTATGAACACAACACGTAACCCAACTCAAAAATTACTTCATCCTGAGTAGGGCAGGCCTAGGCCACTCCTGGCACGGAGAGGACCTGGTTCCTGGACACGTTTCTACGCGTGACCCTGCCCGAAAGCACAGCAGGCAGCCAACCGACACGTGTTTGTAAGCGGAGCAAACCTGAGAGGTTTCATTTTAGGATCACTGCCCCTAGTGGCTTCCACATCAATTATCTCCAATTCTAGGGGTTTTACAAAATACACTGAAGTGCACAAAGAGCAATTAGATTCCCCCAGAAGATCTATCTATGTTGATCTAAGAATAAACGAGGCCCTTGGGAGCTGCCAAGTAGCAACTGATTCTTGTGGGGCTCAAACAGGTACCAGACAACTGAAAAGTGAAAGATTCGGGGGAAACCAAGCTTATAAAGCTATTGACCCTTTTCTTAGGCAGTTGAGGTCCAGATTGTGTAACATCGGAGATATTACAGCTCTCTCTCCACTGCATGACATGGTAAAGTGCAGCATCGCTTATCACGCTCCTTCTGCTTCAAATAAGACCATGTGAGAACAGGATGGGCACAATTCCTGTTTGGCTTCTGGGTCGAGGTCCAGTCCATGGCAAGGTGGGAGAATGAAATAGAGCGGGGCTTCTTTTTTTCTTTTCTCTCATTTTTCTAAAAAAATTCTCTTACTCAAACGTTAGCTGATGAGAACGCACAAGAAGTCATGCAAAAGGAGAAGGCAGGTCTGAAATGCTGAAAAACAAACCGACAAAAGAAAACTGCAAAGAGAATAAACACTGATGAGCCACAAAATAACGTGACCCTCAGGAAGGTGGGCGCAGGCAAGGCAACAGGGCGAGCATGCAGACTGAAACGAGAGCCAAACGGAGGCCTTTGTGACGAGCAAAATGGGGCTTCAAACCAAAATGCCAGTGTCTGTGTGTGTGTGTGTCTGTGTGTGAGAAAGAGGAGGGAGAGAGGAGAGGGGAATACAGAGGAGGGAGCAGAGAACAAGCAGGAAAACAAGCGTACATACATGAGCTCGAAGGCTTTCAGGAAACAGCAAGGTCGTAAGGATTTAATACTTGGAATGAGCATCAGCCTAGATTTTTTTTTTTTAATTAAAAAATAAAGGCTGACAAGTATTAGTGACCCTTTGGGGAAAGCAGACTACTGAACAATGCACGTGGTTCAAATTTAACATCTGCAAATTCCGAGCCCAGTCCAGCTGCTGTAACACTGTTCCGGGGGAGGCTTCCCGGGTCTCCGCACCTCCCTGCCACGCTCTCGGCTGAGACCACCCGCAGGATCAGCACTAAAGGCACCGTGTGAAAAGCTGGTGGAGCAGTGCACACATTCAGATGGACTGAGGGACGAGGGAGGGCAGAAGACAGACCATGCGTGGGACTCTCTGGTCACCCTTTGCACCAAAGGGCAGCCAGCAGCGCTTCGGCCGGCGTTGGGAAGAACCAGGTGGGGGGGAAAAGTGTTGGTTACGCTTAACGGAGGGGCTGTGCTGAGGTGGGAGAAGAGTGGGAAGGCTGGTAAGTTAATCTGAGCCACAAGTAGCATGCCATGAAAAAGAGCAAGCATCTGAACGGTATTGGGATGGAATTTAGGCCTTAATTTTTCAAGTAGGAACTCCAGACAAGACTGGGAGTCTGGCTTTCATGAGTGTGTTTTATTTGCCTGCAGGGTAAACAGACCATTTTGTTTCTCCTTCTGTGACAAGCTCACCCCGAGGTTCTTGCACCAGCACAAACACCTTTAGGGATCTAAAACATAAGAAAGACAAAAAGAAAGAGACAGGATTAGAAAGAGGCTGGGAGAAACAGGATCCCTTAAGAGTAGCACTACCTGCTGGAGGTTAAAGAAAAAACTGCATCCAAGCACCTACCAGGTTACAAGCGGTTGAAGGAAGGTTCCAGAAAGGGGCACATGTTGCAGCAGTTACTGTCCCCCCCAGCCCTTCCCAGGGACACTGCTCTGCTGCGGGAGGAGGGTGTAAAGTGTGGGAGCAGGACCCGGCCAGCACTTGCTGAGTGCCACAAAGAAAAGAGCTTTTTAATTTTCAGTCTGCAAAGGAGTATTGCACCAAGTGACAGCTCCAGACACCACGAATGGTACCGAAAAATAACAGGAAGCTAAAACACAAAGAATTTGGCAGACAACTCCAGACTAGCTATCCTTTCCACAACAGGCTGCAAAGACTTTTCATTCTTAATGCAAGCCCAGAAATAAACAGGTAAGTGAAAGTAGTCTTAGCCTCTTAAACCAATCCTTTGGCACACTCCTGTACCCACAGACTTGTGGCCAAGGGTAAGTTTTCTCTTTGGCCAAGTGAAACTACAACCCAGAAGTGTGGTTTGGCCAAAGAGACCGCGGCATCCAAGGGAATACAGGGTGAGTCCAAACCTCTCTCCCATTCCAGAGCGCAGGGGAACCTTCCCATCAGCTTCGCACCCACTTCTATAAAACAAAAACCTCCAACAATAAACTACATTTCCTGAGAAAGAACTGAATTTGTACTTGGTGTGGGCAGCGGGTGAAAAGCAGCTCTGGGCCATTTGCTTTCCCTTAGTGAAGTTAAACTTCGATGAATTGCCATAAAAAAAAAGCTTCACAAGAATGAGAAAATATAATGTTTATTAGAAGAAGACACCATGGTACATCAAGCTATAAAGAGAATCCTGACAGATGATGATTCTTTAAAAAATAAGAATAGAAATGAAACGACCACACTGGCCAGATTTAGCAAACCTTAACAAAAAGCAAAAGTTTCTATGCAAGTCCAACAAGATGCAGGCAAATGAGTAACCAAAAACACTTTCCAACTTAAGAGGAACTGAGTAGTTATCAAACGACAGCTAGGTTAAGCAGAAGGAACAGCCTATAAAACCATTTGTATTTATACATATATAAAAGGATAAAAACAATTCAAATTCAAGTAACTTTAGTTTTTAAGTTATGTTATATACAACTTTTTTTTTATATACTGGGAGAACTAAGGGCAAGTATTTAACAACAGGATTTTCAAAAGCCACAGTCCAGTTTATAATTATTGTCTCCTAAATGATTTGGCAAGCATTAAATAATCAGATATATCCTAGATAAAAAGTGCATCAGCATAGTTAACTTTTACCTATTTACTTTTATCAGTCAAGGCTCTGCATAATGGTTACAGTGAACAAACAGCAGAGCTGCAACACGGAGAATCACAGAGCAACGGGTTTATTTCTACAGCTGGAGGTGAGGAGGAACAGACCCACAGCAGCAAAGGAGCCGAAACGCTTGCCAGCCCACAGCTCCAATTTTTTCTTTACCAGGAAGTTAAACTTTACAAAACAGCCCCTATTCCTTGCACATCAGCCCAGCAGCCAGTGCTTCTGGTGGAAGCGAACACGGCGTTTTTGCTGGGTGCGACGGCGTTTATACAAAAAGCCGGTTATTTCATGCAAGTTCTTTTGCGCTATCGCACCCCTTCAAAACATCCCTCAGTGAAAGACAAGTTTTGATCCCAAGAAGATGATGAGGTACCATATTCAAGAAAAACAGTACAGTCGGTCTTGAGCAAAAACTAGTTCTTGTATTCGACAGCTGTCAGCACCAGATACGTGATGGGCAGAAAAGCCCCATGAGAAGCTGCACCCCCGTGCACCCGGAGGAGTTTTCTTCCTCCTCCCCTAGCAGCGCAAGGCTGGCGTCAGCCCCAAAGCAGGAGTTTGCATCCAACAGATCCAATTCTAAGTCAGCATGGGTTTTCCCATTCATAACAGTTTGCTGTGAGCACCACAAAAAGAATCAACTGTGCTGGCTCTCGTTTCTATACGGAAGGACACCAATGCTGTTCACAACTAAATTCACACAGTCGGGCCAGCGCTTTCATCGGCAGCAATGCACATTAAAATCTGAAGAGCTGAACTTATTATGTGCATCAGCTGAGTGAACGGTACCTAACAAGAGTCTTTCATTGCTGGAGATAGGACATGTGCATTCATCTCTTCTACAGAAAACCTTCTGAAATACAGCTCTTAAAACAACCGTAGCAGCAAACCAGTAGGATAAAAGGTGAACGGGCCTATGCAAACCTACTCAGAGATTTTCTGAAGTGATTTGTACACATCTGGAAAAAAAAAAAAAAAGGCAAAACAAGATAGGCATTACTGTTCCTTTTTGTGACAGGGTCTTCTAGCTGGGGTACCATTGCAAACTCTACAAGCAGCCCTCACACAGGTATTTGCAGGAGTACTCAGCCCTCACTCAGCTCCGACAGGAGGTGACAGCAGCACACGACTTACCTGTCCTATTCACCTTTGGTGCAGCAGCAGAGCCCTGACAACCCAGGCTTCAGCCAACTGAAAAAGCTCACCAGCTGCCCAGCGGCTTTTCACAAAGCATCGAGCAGTTGCACTTCTCAGGCAGAGCTGCCGTCGGCTCAAGGCACCAGCCCGAGCTGGAACAGCCACCGACACACTCCGGGCTGGTGCGAGCGCTTCCAGCCTGCGTGCAACTAACCTTTAGAGCTAACAGCTGCTCAAGCTCGTCTCCATAAAGAGGAGGAGAGAACTACTAAAGTTTGTAAATGCTTTAGTATTTACAGCATCACATTCAGGAATATTGTAGCTCCTGCTTCAGGGATTGAATAAAATAATTTCTACTGACATGTCAGAAGTCAAATGCGAAATGGGCAGCTTGCAACAAAGTTTGTTTTTTAAACACAGAAGCACTTCCCCCAAATCTTTATATGGCTACTGGGACTTTTTATGTAAAGTTCTCTTTTAGCTTTTCTTTTTAACCAGAGAACTGAAAAATGAAAGAGGTAACTACTCTAATTCCTTTACATTGGACAGTCAGAGATATATTTCATCCCACTGATGTGAATCATGTCAGGTATGGGAGGGCAGGAGAGCCACGCTTGTTATTTAAGACAGGTTTAGATGCCACACTAGCTTAGGTGTTTCAAGCAGCCTACGCCACTGAACGACAGATTTTCCAGCAGAAGAATAATGCTGCTTTCAGCTATTGCCGCACACAAAGCAGTTGATCTCCACAGGAGAACACAAGGGGAAGAGACGGAATCTCCTGCTCTGTGCTTCCTGCCTTGCTCTGGCTGTGAAGGTGAGCACACGACCCACGTTCCCCTTTCAAAGGTTAACAAAAGCCGAGGGGCCAAGCTTTTTGCTCTCTTCTGCATCTCAACCAACCCTGTATTTGCCAACACAAACATAAAACTGCTGTATTATGGCAAAATAAAAGATGAGCCCAGACTTTCATCTGCAGCAGACAAGGCACTGCGCTGATTAACGCTGAATCCAAGACGGCAAACTGATCCAGTTCCCAGAGACAGTCCTGCTGCTCCTCCCCTCCTGCTGCCCACAGAGCCCAGGGAGCATGGCTCACTTCTGAATTGGATGAGGCAGCTTGGTTCACACCAAGAACTCTAAGGTCTAAGAAACCCAACAACAATCTGAACAAAAGTGACCGAACAAAACATAGATTAATTAACAGTGGACTCTCGGCATATCCTGATTTGAAATAGGACTAAAATATTTTGATTTCTTGGTGTATTACACTACCAGACGTTCACTGTTCTAGCACATATTCTAGGTGAGATTCCCCTGAAACACTGCTTGCTTTCATGATCCACCTGTTTGTGAGGAGTTAAAAGCAACAACAAAACAGGTCACTGAGTCTAAATTCTGAATGTCTTCATTGATCGTGTGTGAGCAAAAGTTTCAATCATTAGTTATGGTCACCTGAAATAACTGCATTTCATCTGAAACAGCAAATATACCCAAAAGACCAGTTTCTGAACTGTATCAAGGTGAGAAAGAATAGATGATCTTTCTTAACGTCAGTGTTTTACTGATTTACCAAGGGCTACAGAGTGCGGTAGAGACAGGTTTTGGCAAGTTGTCTCCTCCCCTTCCAAATGTCCTAATTAAAAGATGACCAGGTTTCAGTCTAAAAGGTCCAGAGAACACATCAGGCTCTGAAAAGCTACCACACTGAGACACAACCCCCAGCCTACATATCTCCTGTA